CCACCCCCCCTCCCGCAGCCCGCGGGGCTGAGCCCCGGGAACAGCACCGCACCTCCCGCAGCCAGCGGGGCTGAGCACCAGGAACAGCACCGCACCTCCCGCAGCCGGCGGGGCTCGGCCACGGGGCCCTGGCCGCACGAGCCTGGCGGCTGACGGCACCTCCCACCCTTTGCCAGCCACAGCACCACCTGCCTGGCCTCAGCTTTATCTATCAGCGCTGCAGCACCTTCTCATGGGAATATCCCTTGTGTTCTGTAAGAGAAATGATAAACAGAGTTGTTTTCCTCAAAGAAAATTCTCCAAGGGCTCTCAAAATGTCATGTAATCTTTCCACACATAGGTTCCCAGCCTGACGACAGGCCTGCTCAGTGCTACACAACTCGAGGTGCCCAGCACCTGAAAGGATGCAAAATTACCTGAATGACCATTTTTCCTAAGATTGTTGGCTCCAACAGGGGCATTTTAAGCAGTAATTTCAGAGTGCTGTACTTACCAGGGTCATAACAAACCAGCAGCTCTAGGTGCAAAGCAACGTCACGGATGTGACGCTGGAAACCACTGCATTCTGCCTGTCACCCTCCTGCCACAAGCTTTTGCCACCTTATTCTACACTGCGGTTTTAATACATTAATTGCAGCAGCTGCTCCAAAGGTACTTCTCCTCCTAACAGAACCTTCCTTCAAATACAGGACGCAAACATCGCTAGTAACTGATTAAAGCTTATGATTATGTGAAGCAGATAAACCAAACGGCTGAGACAGTTCCTCATTTTCCTATCCATTACTGGTTTGCCTTCTCATTAGTTAGTTGCATTAAAAGGCAAAAAAAATTTAAATATTTCTGTGCAACCCCTGCTAGCACCCAGGGCTGCAAATTTATTTTCTGGGTTAAAATTCCAAGGCAGGAAAAAACATTTTTTGGATCAGCTACAGAATTTTCCAAGAATACATTTCTTTTTAGGCAGAAGTAGTGCCTAAGAATGAGTACATATTGTACACAAGATCTGGTATTTTTCAAATGAATGCCTAAGTCATGTCTATACTTCAGAGCTTAAATAAGCAGCTTGATTTTTGAAATTCAGAGCCCTCATCAGCTCCATTTCTAATACAAGTCGCTGAACACGTTTTAAAATTCAGGTTTCCTACTGAAACGTTAAAACATGGACATAAGAACTTAAACAAACCTCCCCTATTTAAAAAGTGTTGCACGTCTAAACAGGTACCGCAGTGTCACCGGGAACAAAGAGAGTACATACACTATGACAAAATTTTTATACAGTATGTTTCTTAAAGTCAGCACCAACCATACTGAAGTTTAATGAGTATCACATGCATATGCTTGGTGTAATAAGTAAAAAAAAACAACCCACACTCTTCTTTTGAGGTACCACATTTGTGGCTTTTTGGTACACACATACGCTTGGTCCCAGGTAAAAACAGTGACTGGCTTTGCAGCCAGTACTGAGAGGGAGCCACTGTCCGGGGGGGGAGCAGGGTAGGTAGTCTGAAAACACTGCTGCTGGGGAAATAGAACTCTTTAAAAATAAATCTGCTCCTAAAAAAAGTGCTTAATTATTTTTCATTTTGTCTGCATTTGCCATGCAATGGTACCTTAAAAGAACGTGTAAAAACTCCATGACACTTAGTATTTATTATTCTTAATGTTCACCTGGTACTCTTTAAGCATCTGATCGCTCATCAACAAAAAGTAAAAATCCCGTGACCCCAAACTCGACATGCTGATATATTATTACCATATGCAGTAATTAGTATAATAATAACATAAAGTGCAAACAAGAAAACATATCAAAAACATACATACTTTTAAGTGGTCACTATGCTTGCTTAGGTAGGTACCCACCAGATACAGGCAGGAAACAACGTACTTGGGTAGGCAAGAGCTTGCAGGACCTCAGCAACTCCAGCACGTGACTTACCTCGCCTCTGTTTCCAATTAATTTTGCATAATATATCAGACAAGACTTTAAGTTCAAAAAAAAAAAAAAGGTGTGGGTCCTTGTTTGGTTTTTTTTTTTAATAGACTGTTTAACTTAAAATGGAGAAGAGAGAAGAAATCCTTCACCACAACATGTCACTTCAGCAACAGGGGTGACACCCTGAAGACTAGCTAAAGAATCCATGCACATTTGGGTGGAAAAACGTTCATGCAAGTGAAAGCAGAGTTGTTCCTTCAAAACCCAAGATTCTGGATTCTGAGGAATAAAAGAACGTTATAACTGGTGATACAATCAAGCCACATGAAATTAACAATTCTTAAATAATTATGAAATTGGGGGAAAAAAATAGACAACTGCTCTCTAGTGCAAGTTATCTACAAGAGATTGAACTGTTTCTCTGTTATTTTTAGTTCAGCTCTTCCTTACAAGCCAAAGCCTTTTTCCTAAAGCTTTGTAATGAACGTTCACAAAGGAATAAATTAGGGAGATTAATCTAATTCTGCAGTTCAGCTCTGACCTAAAAATGCAATGATTTTGAATTTATTGAGATGAAATGTACAGCCTTCAGAACAAATCCTCATAGGTCATGGGATAAAAAAAAAAGTCCTAAGCTCTGTACCTTCTGTTTCTCAATATACAGTAGCTTTGGCCTGTCCCTACTTAGCACTCTTCCGTATTTTTAGAATTCTCACTTGAAGGTACTCCAACTCAAAACCAAGAAGGTTAGCTCTATTCCAAATTGCCAAGGCTATCTACCATCATATTTCCAAGTGAAACCCCACTTCATTCTGTACTTTTTTTTCTACAAAAACTGCAGCATGGAATTGTTTATTGTTCTTCAATATTTTCCATACCAAATACTTGCAGTTCCCCCTCCCCCATTTCTAGAAAAAAATTCAGATCAAAATTAAGTTTGGCTCCATATGCCGCATTATTACCAGCTAGAAAAATTAATACTAAGATCAGAATGATCTTTTTCCCCCACTGAAATTAATCAGTGACAACCAACATAAGGGGTACTTCAGGCCAAATTTTGGCTGCCAAGGATGCAGAACTGCCACTGGAGAAATCCGCAGGCAGACAGAGATCTCCTTGAACCAATTTTCTCCCCCAGCTTTGGCTCCCCAAACAAGTTCACCACTGGGCATCCCGCAACAGAACCTCAGCTCCAGAGGGATGGATCCACAGGCAAGGATGGAGGCACATGGGAGGGCTTCGTGCACGCACCCTGGAAAAAAACAGTTGCAGAAGAAGGAGCCGTGTCTGTCTGAGCAAAGCACGTGCACTTCTACAACCAGTAACAACCCGAGAAAGGAATTTGCTCCGGCATCTGACATGAAAACAGACCCTGGAAGTCACTGATCAGTTTGAACACCGATGGCAGTAGCCAGCAGGCTCCAAGCCTGCCTGCTTGTCTCTGTTGCTGCTACGGTGCAAAGGCAGATTTACTGAGATATTCTACGTCGCTGCTATTTTTTAATCAGGGCTCCATATTTGCTCATTATATTGGAAAGTAAGCATGCCCAGAAGATCTGACACAGCTAGACAAAGAGCAGGTTTGGGGGCAGGTAAAGGATACCTGAAGACGTCACCCCAGAAGAGGCACACCGGGCTGCTCAGTGCTGCTCCAGCATTTTCAGAACAGTGCAAAGCAGCACAAACGCCACAAAAACCTGTATCTGGGCTGCCTCAATCACCTAGTGGACACTTTATTGGGATATAAAAGGGTCGTGAAAAGTTAGGAATAGTACATGATCCCACAGATGAAAAGAAAGGTGACTCTCTCCAAGTTTCTCCAGGAGGAGCAAGAAATGGACTCTAAAAATAACTCAGTGGCAATTCAGAAGTCTTTCACGGTTCGCAGTCAGCAGCTGGCTGGTCACACGCTGCTGGGGGGGGGGGGGGAGTTTGCTGGGGGTTTGTTTTTTTTTTTCCCCAGTTTCCACTGCTAAATCATATTAAAACAGAGATGAATACAAATGTTACAAATATTGTCTGTTATATGCAAGCAGCCGAAATTGCCGTAAGGCTGTTAATCACAACACAGGTAAGAGAGGCAATCTGATAGTCTAAACAAGGAGACAGCAATATGTTCCTCCAATAAAACACACAAATACATAAAAATTTGAGAAGCTAAGATACCAAAAGGAAAACAAAAAATGCTTAATCCAAACGAATAGCTCTCCACACAGAAGTGGAGGGGGGAAAAAAAAAAAAAAAGGTGTATGGTTTATTGCAGACATCCACGTTTTACAAACACCAAGCTGAAATGCATTAAAATGACAACAGGCTGCCTTCAGCAAAATACTTTAGAAAACTACTCATCCATGACAGGACAAGCTTCGTCTGATGGCAAAGATTATTAAATTGTACAGGATTTCTTACTTAAATTGTCTACTTTTAGATAATGCGTGCACACGGGAAAAAATATTTACCCATCACGGGTATCACATCCTAATCAAATACGCAAGAAGTTACCAAGAATTACCTACATTTACGTGGCAAATAGGTAAATTGGTCCTCACTTGCCTTTGTTTTTTTATAAAAGCGATAATGACAACATTGAAAGTTGGATGTATCTTTTTTCTTCTTGTTGAATGAAGGTATTTTGAGTAAATGAAGTGGGCCAGCCTCTAGCATTAACACAGGAATGAACACACATGGAAAGATCCATTATTAAGTAGCTGATAGCATTGACTATTAGAATCATAGAATCGCTTTGGTTGGAAAAGACCTTTGAGATCATTGAGTCTAACCTCTAACCTAACCCTGCCATCCCACCACTAAGCCCTGTCCCTCAGCACCTCTGCCTGTTCCTCTCCACGGAAATCTTTAGTAAAAGGCGAAAGATTTATACCATCTGAAGAGAACCCAGAGTACAATGCGCTAGACATGCATGTATGCGCCAATTCCTAACAGCACTTCAGTGATGTCATAAATTAAATAAAAATGTATTTTAGGTTTTTTTTTAACATACAGAACTTAACGTACAAAAGAAACAAAGATTACTTCACCTGCCTCGTAAACTGGTATTGAAGCGGTAAGACAGCTATTTCCTGCAACCAAGCTTTTCCTTCAGCCCAGTCCCTATTCTCTTTCCTGCAAGCTACTAAAAATTTCGGTATTCTCATGCACAAAAAGGTGAGCCAAGTTCTCTTCCCTGCACCAGTTACTGCTTAATTTCACATTAAGCACTCTTTATGGGGAAACAAAAAAAAAATCAAACCAAAACCAAAATGCCCAAAACAACCCTGCCCCAAAAAACCCAGAAACAATTAAACAAGTATTAGCATCTACGTTCTTAGTTCCTAGGCGACAGATTCATGTTTACTGACGTGTCTTCTACAACCACTGTGTCTTTATTTTTTTTTGCTTTACAGTAGCACACCTTTAACAGTAAGCACATAAAATGAGTATCCGGAGAAGACAGACAGGAGGCAGGAGATGAGAATTTCAACATTTTCTCTATCGGTAGGCACTGAACCAAGGTCTCCCAGCTCCTAGATGACAGGTTTTACCTCTCACAACACGACAGGCTAGGAGGCAGACACCACCACATTCTCTTCCATCACGTCACGTAAAAGCCAGCTTCCCCGAGTGTTTTGCAAGGATCCCAATCTGGGCAGTACCTCCAACCAAACAAGCTCTCCAGGGCACTGAAGACACAGACCCGCTCTGTTGTTAGGCCCACGGTTCCAACAGAGACTTTGCAGGGGCTGCCCAGGCTGCAGTACAGCCAGATGAGCACAGAGCAGGCTCCCCAGCATTTGGAGAGCCCCGAGGCCAAACACAGCTACCATTAAAGGGTTTGCATGCCTGCTGCGAAGGGACTCCTCAGACAGCAGCTCCTGGCTGGCAGAACCAAATGCCTCACCCTTGTACCTGTATCCCTCGAGCACGACTTAATTATACCAAACCCAGACCAAATCCTGAGCAGGCATAAAGTGATCCCCTGCCTTGCGTATCACAGAAGTACACCCATTAACACCAGCTGAGGACCTAGCCTTACGCAAAAATTAATTCCAAGTAATAGAAGCAGTCTACACTAAGAATAGTAATTAATATAATCAGGTCAGGCGTAGAAAGGAGTTCTTCAACCCACAGTGAATAAGCAGAAGCCACTTGAAATTCAAAACAATTAAAATGCTAATTAGCTTTTCTTCAATTGCCTGCTGAAATGATACTGCTCCGTTTCGTCTGTGTTTCTTCTCCGCCTAGATCAACCACACGAGGAAGGGAGAAAAGGAAGAAGCACGCAGACAGAAGGCAGTATAAATCAAGTCCGCCTGCAGCCGCAGAGCGGGGAGCGATCACCTGCAGTGAACCAGAGCACAGCAGCACCGCAGGACAGGGCCATGCTGAAACAGGAATACGGCAATTTCCATGTCTCGGTCGGGGACCGCTGGGGGCTGAACGTTTCACAGTCCATGCAACTTTTTACTTCTAGGGGGAAAGAACAAGGGAGGGGAGGGGGTGGTAAAAATATGAATCGCGTATATTAAGCGGGTATCATCTTTTAAATGTAAGCATACATTTGAACCACTCACCAGATTTTCATTCAGATTACCCACGCCTGAAGCAAAGTACTCAGAAAGTAAAGCAAATGAAGATAAATCCCACACAATACAAACAAAACTTTGCGTGTGTGGGTGGGGAGGAGGGGCAAGGAAAGAGATTCACTGAGCTTGGACAAGCGAGTATTAGAGCTCAGGGGCAAGAGGGTCCTGGGTTATCAAAGGCATGCAGGCTCTCGGGTGGAAAGGCTCTGGAATAAACTCTATTACTTTCACATGTGTACTGTCAAGCTGCTGCTAGATCACAGAGGAGAGAAAAGCTTTGTTGTTTCATTTTTACAAATAATCCATAGCATTCTATGCATAAAAACATTGAACCTTCCACTTTAAACCTCCCAAGTTCTCCTTTGACCAAAAATACACGTGAGTGACTACATCAACTCCTTTGTTTTAGCAGATCATTGACTGCAAAACAAACAATTTGTGTTTGCACAGAAAACCAAGGACTACAGCTACTCAGAAGCGCTACGGTATTAAATACAGCGCACGCAACGGTACAGACTACAGAAATGTGTCCTGTCAGGACGGGGTCAGAAATGTGATGCCTTCTTTTTTTTTTATTTTTGCTGTCTTACGAGGCTGCAATAGGCCAAAACAGGTGAGAAATGCTTGATGAAAGATCGCAGATACCAAGGTTTTGAAAGTCTTTTGTAGGACAGGGTCATTTCAAATTCCTGACACAAACTGAAGATGACATTGCCTAAGCACAACCTCTGGGTGAGGGAGGCAGCGTAAACCAAGTGCCATCTCTGTTTCTCCTGCATCTCTGCAGGCACTCGGGCTTTCATTATGCTGAAGTGTTGGAGACTCTGGGATTCTGGCATTTGTACCAGTTCTTTCTCTTTATGTCACAAGACCTTGTGCAACATTCTCAACCGAACCAAACAAAAATATTATATTCCTGTTTGTCAAAGGATATTCTTTTGGCTCAAGGTTATGGCTTACAACACACCACTGAAGGAATGTCATGAGACACTTACATAGCTGAACCTGGAGGAACTGGTGGAACTTTGCCCAGGAGCCCTGGTCAAAGCCATA